CTTTTGCACAGGTAGGCCACCCCCGCCCCCGCCCCATCATCTCCCCGCGAGCTTCGTGCGAACAATTTGTCTCTATTTCTCCGTGTTACTTTTTATTCTGCTAAACAAAGCTGAAAATAAGAGTGCGTGTGTGTGGTGGGGAGGGGGCGTCTTCGAGGGCGGGGTCGATCTAACTGAGCGAGGGCTTCCCGAGTTGTAATTTAAAGCTAGAGGTGGTCGAGACATTCACATGTACTGGGTCACTCCACCCCACACTTCCTCGAGTTTCGGGCCCATTTTGCGGCGCACGGACGGAACAACTCTGCACCCTCACCACCAGTCTCGGCAAATTATTCTGATGTGACATGACTGCTTAAGCAATTATCGCAAACGGCACGACAAAATCACTGCGAATTCGCCGTACACCTGCCGCACTCGGGTGTCGGCGGGGCCCCGGCCGGCCCCGGCAGCGAGCTCTGGGTGCTGACAAAGTGACATGACAACAGCGTCCAGCCCGGCCCTGGCTCCGCCCGGACCCTGGGCTTATGATTTATTGCGGTCGCTCCGTCTCTCTCGCTCCAAGGGGCCCGGCGCCGGCCCCCCGCCTCCCGCAGACAAACAAACGGGCTTAGATCAGAAACACATCGATAATGCATTGTGTCGACTCGACGGAGCGCCGGTGTTTTGTGCCAATTTAATATTCTCAAAGTTGTGTTTGCTCCCGTCGTGTGAAAAGTCTTGCTGCGCGCCAGAGAAGAGAATCGTGGTCTCCGGCCGAGCTGAGGCCGAGGAACCTCTCGCGGGTGTCGCGGGTCGCGTCCAGGGCGGGGGCGTTTCCGCATCGGTTTTATAAATTGATAAGCTTGATCCCGCCGTTCTGTCACCGAAATCGATTACCGCCGAGTACGAGTGGGCGTTGGCGTTGCGCGGCCGCGCGGGGGTGGAGTCCAGGCCGCCCCGAACTGAACACGGTCCGCGGGCGGTGTGGCGGCTGGTATGCAGGGCTCGACGGGCAGGGGCGCGGCCGAGCGCGGCGGAGCGCGCGGAGTGGAGCGGGCTGACCTGCGCGGGCCAGCTGCCTCTTCCTTTTTCATCACGCCGCCACGCTATCTATCGGACGATTACGGGATCATGGGATTAGTGCCCGCCTCGCCTCGCCCCGCCCCACCCCGCCCTGCCCGCACCTGCCCTGCCAAGCACTGCCTCTCTAGACTCAGTTCCGCCCTGCTGGTTCGGTTTCGGCCCGGCGCACGGGGCGCGCGCTGGAGGAGCTCGTCGACGATAGATCTCTCCGTTTCGCCAACAAGAGAGGGGCGGGCCACCACCCCTCTTGCCCTCGCCGGCAGGGCAGGCTCCGGCGCCGAAATTCACGGCGCAAACCGCAAAAACCGTTTGAGCCTCAATGCGGTCCATAATGCCAGGCGGGGCGTTGCGTGGCGGGGCGGGGCGCGGCGCTACGGGCCGACCGCGTTTATGTGTCCCCGGGGCTGCATTCGCGCTATTACTTCGCGGCGAGTGGCCTCCCCTTCCCCGACCGACCGGCCCCTTCCAGAAGGGGAGGGAAGCGGAGCAGAGAGAGCAAGAGCGGGTGCGGCGGCGGCGGGCGGGCGCTCTCCGGGTCGTTCCGGAACAAAATAGGGCGTGAGCGGGGGTCAATTTAAATCCGTAACGCCCAATAGCGTTCACTGTTCGCGCGCCTGCTCACGGCGCTCGCCCTCCCCTCGAGTCGCATCGAGCCCCCCCGCCATGATCGCTTTGATGTTTGATTGCGTTCTTGTTTTGGCCTCCTTTCCTGCTCGCTAACTGAGTCTTTTGTCGACAGGCGAAGCTGGGACAGAGCCATTGAGTGAGTCATTCAGCTATGCGTACGGTACCCGCGCCGCGGTGTGCCCGCCGCGCCCCGCCCCGCCACACCACGCCACGCCCCGCCCCGCGCCTGCGCAGCTGCGCGGTGAGCGGCGGCAGCGGCGGCGTGTTGACCCTTCTCATCAGCCCGCGGCGGGGCGCGGCGGCGGTGCTCGGCGCGCGGGTGCGGAGCAGTAGATGTGTGCCCATGTTTGCTCCTTTGGACTTTGTCGGGGCGGTCTCCCCCCCCCCCCTCTCTCACACGCATGCAGGTGCCCGCGACTTCCTCCCATGTAGAAGTACGAGTACGTTGGCGTGGGGGCGACGGGGTGGGTTAGCATTAATTGCTGGGGGGATCTAACCTGACCAATTCCGGTCACCGCTACGGAAAAATATTAGTAGCCATATATCCTGAACGTTCAAGATAGTATTATTCCATCCGGTAAAATGATTTGCAATAATGTATGTAGCCAACCACAGTGTGTCAGGACCACGACACAACAACAGTGGTGCAGGTTCGCCTCGTTCGCCTAAGGGCCATGGCGCGAGTAGGCACACCCACATATTGTTGTTTAGTAGTCCTGACACACGGTAGAGATAACCTGTAGGCTATAGCTCATCCGATCCTAGCTCTAACCTCTAACTTTTTGTAACGTTGCATATAGGCCGCCCTCTTCTAGTTTATACCGGGTGTCCCGGCTGTTGCATGCCAGTAAGGCGGGTTGCATAAGCACCGGCTCGCAGGTGCTGTCGGGAGCGCGCAGGATTTCGCGCTCCCCTGCGGAACCGCGAGCCTCCCCGTGGAACAACGGGGGATGCGCGAAATCCTGCGCGCTCCAGACAGCGCCTGCGAGCCAGCGCGTGTGCAACCTGCCATACTGGCATGTAAGAGCTGGGACATCCGGCACTGCACCGCATGCAGTAGTGCGGGTGGTTGCCCAGCTGCTCGGATCCATTAGGCACCTTGGACATGATCAGCATTGATATTCCTGCATGTATAACTACTAACATAAATTGTATGTACTCGCTCCGCTATGTAAGCTCATAGCGTTTGGACTGCAGTTCGTGGATAGTTTAGGAGCGGTCCCGGGGAACAGTTACTCCCCGGCGCAGAGCTCCGCCCGGCCCGGCTCCGAGGGTTCCTTCCCCCCGCCCCCGTCTTCGTCGGCGCCTTTGAGCTCCCGGCGTCCGCTGTCAGTGCAGTGTCGCCCCCGAGGCTTGGCGCAGGCTGACGGCCGCCGCACCCCGGCCCGGCCCCGATGCAGTGACCCTGGGCGAGACAATAACGTCCTCCTTATACCCCGCCCCGCCCGTAGCCCGGCCCACTGTGCAATCACAAAGTCGGTAGTTTACCGACTCGTGCCGACAAATAGAGCCGTATCCCTAATTGGGGTGCGCCCCCCCCCCCCTCTCCCCCTCTTTCTACCGCCACAGCGCCGCATCCTCCATGTGCAGCAGCGGTACGGGGAGGGGAGGACGCCCCGCCGCGCCCGCCGCCCTCGCCGCCCTCGCCCTCCCCTCCGCCCACGCATGAGCGCGCCCCGCGCACCTGCCCCCGGCCACAAGATGGCGGCCGCGCCGAGGAGGGCGGGGGTGCGTGCGGCCATGAAGCCCCGGGGCGGAGCAGCCATCATCGGCGAGGGTCGCAAGGAGGGGTGTGTCGCTGCTGGCCGAGTATGGTTCTCTGGGTTCTCTAACCTACGCGAGCTTATTTACCCTGCTCGGCCGCGGATCCCCTCGCGATCCCCGCCGCCCGATCAGCTTGATCGGCTTGATCCCGCGCGCTCCCGATCCCGATCACGCCTAATCCCGGCGAATAATGCGCGGGCCCCTTGAGCCTTCGCGAGGCGATTACGCCACGATTACGGGTCCGCTGATCAGCTTTTGATTGCCCGCCGCGCTAACCGCCGCCGCTCGGCTCGGTGCTGATTTCCTTCAAGAGCCACCGCACACCGCACTGCAGACGTAATGCCCTCCGCTCTGCTATGCTTTACGAGGCCCGATCGCCTCACACGATAAAGCTTCCTGGCTTTTCACCTCCCTTATCTCGAGCTGCCGCCAGGAGGCTCGCCAGGAGGCTCGCCAGGAGGCCCCATCCGCGCCACGCCTGCCCTTCACCTTCCAGTCCCACGTGTTGTCGCCGCCTCGTCGTCGTCGTGGTCCGCTCAGAATTAGTCCCTTGATATAAACCGCAGCCGCCCCTCCCCTCACCCTCCACTCACCCTCCCCCTTTCTCGCCGCCCTTGCCGCTCCCGCCCTCGTACCCTCCGACCGATATATATTGGTCCAGAGGGATGCTGAGCGGAGGGGCGGGCCGGGCCCATTGTCGCGCCCGTTGGCCGCATAACTGTCCTCTGCTCTGCCGCTCACCAGCGCTCACGAGGCAATTATCGCGCCCGGATTCGGATTCGGCTGCGAGGCAGCTCTTTTATATAGTTCCTGGTCGCGCGGGCCGCCGATGCCGAAGGTTGAGGGCGCGGGGGTATTTTGTGCATGTTAGTGAAAATGCTGTAATCACAGAACATCGCGCAACCGCACACCCTTTTGCATGCTTACCGCGCTAAAAGATCAAGATTCAAATTCGTAACAGTGCCGCCTTAGTTGTTGAAAGGTGACTCATTTGTTTTTGCTGATTTTGCTGAAGTGTCTTCACTTTTTACGAAAGTACTACGGATGTATATTTACACGAGCGTTGCAGTAGACTGGCGTAACTAAGTGACAATAGTGCGGCGAGGTAGAGGTGCCGACGACTGGCGCCGTCGCGCCGTCTGTGTGTGCGCCCATACTCACTAACTAGCTTGACCCCTTGTGGGTATGCAACCCGTTTGCACAGCTGTTCTGCGGGACGCCACGCGTCCGTTTTGAAAACCGCTTGCTTCATGCATGACACATGTATAGGTTCGATTGGAAGTTAGAGAAGCTTCTCGCGTTGATTTCGCTGATTCCTCTCGGAGAGGTTCCGCCCGGGGTCGAGTGTTTTCCACCCCCGACTGTGAGCAGAGCCTGGCGGAGCCCCGCGGCGAGGTTGCGGAAGTGCTCTGTGAGATAAGTGATTCCGCTACCGCCGAGAAGCACGTGTTGGCCCTCAAAACAAGTCGATAACATGGAGCCCAAACGTGCCGGAGGAGTAGTCTCCGGGGACCCGGCCGACAGACACAAGGAAATCTTGCCAACGCAAACACGCTCACGCCCGACCAATCGGCCGCCAGCCTCCGGCGGGCCTCCGGCTCCGGCCCACCTTTATGCCGTGCCGACACAGGCGGACGGGGGAAAAAAAAGATACGGAGATGGGGAACGCGCGGAGGAGCGGCAGAGAATAGAGGAAAAGTGAGTAAAAAAGTAGGCAAGGAAGCGAGGGGTGGTGGTGGGGGTTGGGGCCTGCGTATAGGTGTATTCGCTGACAGGTTACGTTGTTTGTTGTCGTGCCTCCCCGCCCCGCCTCGCCAGGTATCTCGTCAATGCGGCCGCTTTAGAGGTAGGGACCTGGTAGGGACGGAAGGGCAAGGCAAAAAAAAAATTGAGTCAGTTGTAAATGCGAATGCGGGCAAGGAGTGGAGGATGACAGAGATGTCATTTTTTTGTGTGTTTCGCTTGTTTTATCACTAGGAAAGGTGCGCACGCAGTCCCCTAAAACTGGCTCCGCTTTAATTTATAAGATTGTCGCCACCGTTTTTTCGAAAGTCTTATCCGATTTTGCCAGGACCCCTGCCAACAGCGTTTAAAGCTTGTAATTCAAATTTTTGCGGACGCCCGCGTCACAAACTTTTGGAGGGGTCACTAAACAAGCTGAGCTGTGGTAATGAGATCCCACTTCTTAGCCCGGCTTACAAATCAAAAGTTCACTAGGCGGTCGTGCGATCGACGCCGCGAGAGAAAAATCGCACGCGCGGACCGTGTGTCTGTGGGTGATAAGTGCGCCCCCGCCGCAAAATGGGCTCGTGGCTCGTGGAAATAACTGCCAGCGATTTCTCATACATTCGGCAGCTTAAAGTATTTATTGTTTATTGTCCTCCCCCCCACCGCACCGGAATAGCACCGTATTCTACACATTGTTTGTTGGGGGCGCGCTCACGTTTTCGACGAACAAACGCGTGTAACGGGTTTTGCTGTGCAGTAGCTCTCACTTTCTGCGGGCTTACCTACCTACCCCGGCGTGGCGTGGCGTGGCATGGCGTGGCGTAGCGTGGCGACCGCATTGCTGCCGGTGCAGGGGTGACTCCGGACATGTTCCTGGAAGGCGATGAAGTAGCCGTCCCCGGGCGGGACACCGCGCTGACCCTCGGGGTGGACGATCATCCTGCGTGTCCCTGTGCGTGGTGGTCAGGTGGTGCCGATGGTGCGGGGTGCGGGTGCGGGAGACAGCACCTCGCCGTCGTAGTCTCCTGGCATGGCAGTGTGTATGCGGTGGGCTCGGCTCGGCCCGGCCCGTCCTTCGGCTCTGCGCCGCGAGACGGATGGAGCCTTATCGGGATTAGCACCTCTCTTTCATGTGGCCGCCCTACAGGCAGCCCTGCCGGGGCCGAGCCGAGCTGGAGTTACACTGTCAAGACAATGGAATTACACGGTGTTGTGTCGATGCCTTGAGCGACACGCTAATGTCGACATTCGCGGTCGGGGTCGGGGGACGCGCGCGGCAGGCGCGCGTGTCTTGGCGGCGAGACGTGTACATACGCCCCTCCAGCCCCCGCCCCGCCCCGACTAGGGGCACTGTGTGCACACGCTGCGGCAGTTTATTTACGCAATCTGAATTCTTGCGCAAACTTTATTCAGAACTGCCGCCGCATGTGTGCGCGTAAGGTTTGCCGGCCGCGGCGCGGAGCGGGCGTGCTGCTCTGGGGGTTGCAGCCTACCCCTGCCCGTGCAGCAGCAACGCATCAGTGCATTGCGCCCTAAAGCGAGCGACGAGAAACATGTCCAAGTCCCAGAGCCTAAGGTGTCTCGAGTATGGAACGCACAGGGGGGAAGGGAACGCTGCCGAGCGCTGGGCTGCACAGGTGTGCCGTGCTGCCCCATGTTCTTTGAATCAAACGTATCGGGCCGTGTCTACTCGAATCGGAGATAGCGGTCCATGTGTGTTTGCGTGGGGCTGTTGTCCCGCCCGGCTGTGTGTACAATGCAGGCGGCCCCGAGGGGCGGGGCGGGGCGGGGCAGGGGGCGTAAAGGCCGGCCCGCGTTCACACCAAAGGATACCCCCTTCCCTCCCAACCCCTCTCCTCTCCCCAGTCGCGTCGTGCCGCGCCCGCGGGTCACTTTTTCACACCCGAACGCGCGATCACCGGCGGCCTCTCTCTCTCTCCTCTCCTCCTCCGAGGCTCCCGTCGGCGTCGGCCTCGGTGGCACCGGCACCCTGCGCTCCCAGCAGCGACTCAAACCGCGCGCTCAGATGCTGTGTTCAATATCTCGCGAGATAATCCTTATCAGCGACCAAATAATTTACGGCCGAGTGGCGCGGCCCCGTACCCGTGCCGGTGGTGCCGTGTGGTGAAGGCGGCGGGGGTT